CCGCATCGTTCTTCTCCCACGTCTTCGTGCCACGCGGAAGGAGGCTGCGGAGTGAGTACTCGCTCATCAGATCGATGATCGGGTCCGCCTCGCCCTGTCGGCCCTCCGACACATCGTCGCCTCCCCACAGGTGGTCGTGGCAGTTGAAATCTCCTACTAGGGCCACGTCCACCCTTTCACCTGTTCCTCCTCGGACATTCGTGATAGCTTGTCTCAGCAGATCGCACGCCTGCCGCAGCATCTCCGGCTTCTGCACCGGCACGTACACCGACGCCACTAGCAGCCTTCGATCCGGAAGCCGGACAACGGCCGCAGTAATATCCGAGGACGCTATCGGCACCTGTTCCGCCTCTACTTCTCTGTTCACCCACAGCAAACTCCTGATTCCCCATCTTCCTTCGTCCCTCCACTCCGTCGGTACCATCCTCGTCCACCTGCTATGTCCCATCGGAACAGTAATGGCCTTACCTTCTATCCTCCGCGCCCATGGCTCCTGCACCGCTATGGCCGTGAAGTTGCGCAGCGCTTCGTCATTCATCAAACTCTCGTGGACCTCAGCCTGTTTCCTCACGTTGAGCTGAAGGATCTGGACCTTCCTACTCATGGGAGCGCGGATACAGCTTCGGACAGTTCTTGCTGAACGACTCGTGCGGTTCGCCACAAGGCACGCATGTCACGATCGTCTCACTGCATTCACTGTGGTGGTGGCCGACCTTGGCACATCGTCCACACACCTGGGGGTTTGCGCACTGATACGCCTTGTGCCTGGTGATCTGCTGGCAGTTGTAGCACTGTTGAGGACGTGGCCGCCGCTCAAACGCCATCGTCGTGCCGGACTCTCCTCCGACGTGGAAGAAGCCCTCGGAGATCAGTCTACGCGCATCACTGGCCTTGGTCACGAACACGACCATGGACCCATATGCCTTGGGCATGCCTTTCTTGCTCAGCCAAGATATCTTGGCAACGGTGGTTTCGTTTTCTCGGCTAAGTGCCTCTGCCGCTTCAGCCCTGACATTACCCTTCTCGTCCAGCACCTCGGTTCTCTTCACGTTATCGATCTTCACGGGGTAGAGTTCGTCTTGTAGAACTCGTGTGCCGGGACCGAAGCTCTTCTCCGCGATCTGCTTGACAAGCCTATGTTCAGCATCGTCGCGACAAATGATCCGAATCCTGTCCGCATTCCTTGGGTCCACTGTGATGGCCCGACAGCGCCAGCTACTCTGTCCGTCCATAGCGCGCATTTCCTTCTCCACCGCAGCCCGGATCCGACCTGCGTTGGGCTTATCGCTCATTTCATCAACTCTTGATGTGTCGATCGTACAGAATAAGGGGTCGCTGCGGCTCGGCGGCGTCGCGTTGCCCGGCGTAGCTACCCGCGAGTCGCGACCTTGCCCGCCTAAGCCGCTTCGCGCGACGTCCGCGTAGGACGCGCTTGGGCTGTTCCGCGTCGCAGCCACTGCCGCGATTGCTTCGAGGCTTTCGTTCGTCTTAGCGCTTTCGTCCTCCACGCGTTCTTTCATCGCTTGTAGCTCTCCTTTGACGGCTTGTAGCTCGCTCTTAACTGTTTGCAGCTCCGAAGTGACCACGCGAAGCTCCGCCTCAACTTTCTTGTTCCATGCTTCCGACTTCTTCCACGCATCGAACATGATCTTGATCGCTGCGTTTAGCTCTTTGATCTGCTTGCCCATCGTCAGGAGCAGTCCCTTGTCGTCATCCTCTATAGGTTTCGCGCGTTCCTTGGCCAGGGTTGCGGCTCGCGTGGTCGCCGTCCGCCGGCTACCCTCAGCAGTCTCCGTCGCTCCGTCGGTCGCATTGTCGATTATCTCTTGGGGAGTCTGGTTCAGTCGGACTTTCGCAGATGGTTTTCGCACCCTTCGTGATGGCAGATCCTCGTCGCTCGCTGCCATAACCTCCCTCGCAACGGTGATGGACGTCGAATCTGGCTCGCGATCCATCGCGTCGGGACGTGCGTAGAGTCGCCACGCGGTGGATCGTGCTAGTGCCACGTAGCGCGTTCCGGAGCTTCTCGACAGCGATCAACTCAACAACGTCGAATGATTCTTCAAACATACAAATATCAAAAATCTTCCTGTTCGTCTCCGGTCCGAGTTTCAAGGCATCGACTGAGATCACAGTTTCTCGCTAGATGAGTATTCAGATTTCAGGCCGAGAAAGGACCCTTTTTTAGTTGGTCCTCTTTAAAAGGATCTTATCAGCTCGGACGACCGTGAGATCGCGGCGCCGACAACGGAACTGAGGTTATGAATGCTACAGCTATGTGCACTTTCAATGTCCTCCTTGCAACCATTGCAGTCTGGGTGCACGGGCCAGGGGCACTTGAGAAAACTTTGATGTACAAGTGTAAGCCAGAACTAGCCGCAGCTTCGCGCGGATTTCAGACGGTAATGCAATTACGATACGTCGACATAAGTCTCGTCAAGTCGTCGGCTTAGTGAAGACATAGTGGAGCATTGATTTACAGTGCGGCCGACGATAAGGTACATTTCTGCTTACCTCCAGAGAGGCATTCGGTGCTTACAGGGGTCAGCGAAAAGGGATTCATCTCATATGCAACACACTTCTCTCTTTCCGCACGGACGTTTGATATCTTGGCACCAACACAGTCTGGCTTAGTACGGGAGTACTTAGCCCAGAAAAACCTGAAGTTGACAGGGGTGCTCCATCCATGGTCTGGAGCAAACATTGGCTTCGGTGTCATCACCAGCAGGGATTCTAAGTGGATTGGAAAGCCGGTTCTGGATTACCCAACCTCTATTATTGGAGATGGAGAGCGTGCCCATATGTGCGGGTCGGTCGTCGAATGACGCGTATTGTGTTTGGCGTGTATGTCTGTAAGCCAGGGTTTAATATACACTGTGTAAGCATCAAAAACGGCTTATGTGTCTGTGCGGAAAGAGATCAGAGAGTTGAAGAAGGTGAAGGCCTTTTCGCGGACTCCTGTATTGACCGTCCAACTGTCTTTCATACTGAATTGGCTCTCTGTCCGAACGATACAGTATATATCATCTTGGTCAAATATGGTAGTCATGACTCAACGACGAGGCCACGGTTTTCATCCGTTCCTGGCGTAAGCCATTTCTGGAGTAATCGGTTCGGATCCCTTGCCAGTACTATGTGCGAGACCACCAGAAATCGCACTGTCTAAAGGCGTCCGTGCGCTCAGACAATCAAGAGAGTTTAATCCAACAGGACATGCTTTTTGCACATAGCTGTACTGTATTGTACTGAGGAAAGAGAAGAATTGTACGGCCTAGAGGTTTGAAGGCGATGTACAATCACCGGAGATACAGTTTTGTGCACATGTCGCTTCCTCTCTCACAAACATTCTCAATGTTCGAGAAGCCGAAACCTGCTGTGATGGGTCTCCACAAACCTCTGGTCATGGCTATAGCGACTGGTTTGCAAACGAAAATATGGGTCAGGATGGCGAACGACAGTGCGAGTGGCAACGCGTAATCAAGAGCTACTCCAAAGCATCCATAACCGGCTTTCACAGCATTCATTCTCGCACATCTGATCGTGGTCGCATGTACACAGTAAGAACGACTATGGGCCCAGCCTGTGTGGATCAAGTCCAAAAAGATGGAGCGTGTTGCCAAGGGGAAGCAACATATGATCAATACTATAGAGACTACACTTGCCATCGCTGTTTGTGGACAACATGGGTCTATTCCATGGACACAGTGTAAATGCAATTCCTGACTCCGGCTATGGGGGCCATCAAGCAGGTACCGTCAGGGCATTGTCGTGTGCTCTGTTGGCAATCGGATCCACAAACATCTGTGCGCGGATCAATTTATGCCCGCAGAGAAGGAAACCGATATGTATCCGATTTGGGAGGCAAGGATGTTAACGATGGTGGAGAATATGTACATAATCATGCGAGCCCTGAATAGCTTAGCCGGGGCGTAATAAACTATGTATGTATCCGATTTGGACACGAAAGCCATGACCCAACGAGGAAGCCACGGTGTTCATCCGTTCCTGGCGCAAGCCATTTCTGGAGTATTCAGTTCTGATCCCCGGTACCTTTTGCGAGGTCCGATTGCTCCATACCGTCAAGACAAGTCCGTGCGCTCAAAGACTTGACAGAGTCTGATTGAACAAGCCATGCTTTTTGCACGTTGCTGCTGTAGGTGTTTGTCGATTCACCTACGGGTATCTTAATGGTAGTCGGAAGCCAAAATCTGCACCATGGAAAGAAGCAGCATAAGCAGGCCCTCACCGTGGGTCTACCTTCTAGGTCACTGTGGTCTTTCATGAAGGAGCACAAAGTCTGCATTTTCCGAGATAGTCCACAGAAGAATGACCGCACCATTTTCTGAATCTTGCAGCCAAGAGCTTCCATTAGCATTGGTTGCCTCAAGGGGAGTCTAGTTTTGCCGAATAGCCTTTTTGGATTCAGTACCTGGCCATGGCCATTGTGGCCATTAAGCGTGAAACGGCCATCTGTCTTGTGGATTCTGCTAAGCCGACGCTCTTCATCCAATGGTTGCTAGATGCACTTCAACTTGATTAGATGGCGAACAGTACAGCACTGGACCACGTACAGTAAGCGTCAAGAATTCGATGTCCTTGTGGAAAGAGATGCAAGAATCGTCGACAGGATGAAGCCCTTCTCGTTGATTGCTGTAATATGTAGTACAGAAGAGTCGCCGGGTGCCCGCTGATGAAAACGGAGGCTGGGGACAAAACATCGCTACTGACACAGATGGCGCAAGGATAACGGTCGGCACTGTGCGAAGCACCCACGAAACGTGGTCGCGACTATCGTGCCCGCTAGACACTGCGTGCAGGTCAGGGCAATCTTTTCGGTAGCTTGAGCCTGTCATGCCGCGAAGCAGGATATCCGTGTCCAGCCACCCAGCCGATCGGGATCGGTCTCTCGGGCTATAGCCGCCCGGTAGGCAGCGGCAAGGCCCGCAAGTCCCCTTTGGAGGTCATTCGACCTTGTAAACCACACCTCAGGAGTGACCGCCAACGCGTGCATCTTGACGCACACGGCATGATAGGCTGTGGTGAATTCTCGTACGATACGTGGCGCCGACCGAAACACGGGCACGTCTGACTCTATCGATAGGGTCCTATCAGCAACGCGCTCAAAACTTCGCTTGCTGGATAATCGTGTAGCAGCAGCGCGCAGATCCTGCATACCTGCCGGCAGAAGGTGATGCCGCCATCCACCCTCAGCAGCGGGAACGCAAGCGAAAGAAATCGAGTAGCTGGGAGAATCACAACCTATGTCTAGGCCGCAGAAGAATTCCACCACAAGGCGCGTACCAACCGAGCGGACGACGTGAGCACGG